TGCAGACCCTGGGGATGAGCGCACTGCGGAGGGCGTGGGGGCGGCGATGAGAAACGTTTCATTACCCGGGCTTAGGGCCCCAGGTGCCGTCCGGCGCCCGCCGGGGGATGCCCTTTGACCTCGGGGCGTGGGAAAGCGCCGCCACTCGCTTGGCTCCGCGGCGTTTGCGGTTCCCGCGCCCGGGGACCCGTTACAGCCGCTGGGCCCGCAACCGAAACGCAGTGAAAATTCTACAGTCCATCTGCGTGCCGTCTATATTTGCTAAATACTGAAAATCGGGTTTTCTTTGCTCTTGAGTCACTCTAAAGCTAATAAGACCCTTTTTTAAAAAGTATCTACATGGTGGTGCCTTGGAAGGACTTTTATGAATAAAAATTCTTCTTAAGTTTGCTAAAAGACCACAGAGATTTCAGAAAGTCGCATAGCCTACTCTCCCCGCTCAAAAATCAGCCACCGCGCTGCCTCCCAGTAGTTGACCTGGAAAATTTTAATTCAGTTACGCATTTTAAGTGCTGACTACAGATTACTAACCTGCGCTTATTTACTACATCCTTTTATCACTTTGTTGCTTACAACACCGCATTTAATATGTTTAGCCAATATAGTGAATTAGTCTCTTTGAATAGAATTAAATAAACACCGATTCTACTACACAAAACAAACATAAACCCAAAATCTTTTTTTAGGGTCTTTAGCTTCACTGCAAGGTTGAATTTCCTTTTAGCAAAAAAATAAAATAAAATTATAGATACATTTTAAGCTTTTAAAATTAGATTTCTTGTCACTTGCTTGAGTGTAGGTCATTTAAAAAACAGTCTTAATTGATAATGCAAGTTGTTGACCAAGGCAAAGAATATGGAAGTGAAAAATTAGACTGGTGTCAAGAATTAAGATGTCCCTCTAGATAATATTCAACCTTTCAGAGTCACCTAAATTACCTCTTGAAATCTCTTTTAATCTAATTATCTGTTAAGTTTCACTCTAACAACTAACGAGTTTTTTTTAAAAGTATGCATTTTTATTTTAAAGGTTTTGCTAGGAAATCCTCATGTTTGTAACTGTTCCACATTTCAGAAAGGAGGGGAACTTTGTAAGCATATATGCTGGTAAGTGACTTTGAAATGATCTCCCACAAAGGAACATCTTAGTGTATTACATGTTTTGCCTTTTTCATGGTTTGAGTAGTGCAAAATTAAAGAAATTTGGTGTTGGGAAAATATAAAGGTAAAATGGTCATAGCTTATCAAAATACGTTAGGGTATTTTATTTCATTCTGAAAAGTAAGATTTAAGTTGAAAAAATACTATCAACTCTACATGTTTTGAATGTTTATGTTTTTAATAAGAAAAAAAATCAATTCTCATTATGTACAAATATGAACTCTAATTTATAGGACAGGAAAAAACTCCCTGATTCACATCATTGATAACTATGTGGTTTGTTGATAACTATATATATAGTTAACGTCATTGATAACTATATATATGTGGGGGGTTTTTTTTAGTACATTGTCTCTCTTTTCAAGAAGCAGTTGACTATGAGTCTTTTGAGATAGAAGTAGGACTTAACTGAAGAGTCATTCTATCAAATCTGAAATTTTTCCTCTAGTGTCAGAATCAATTTGTAAAGGAATCCTAGAAATAAAATTAAAAATTTTTTTCATTTAGTTTAACTCAACTGCATTTTGTTTAACTACAATACTTATATCAACAAAGCATTAATTATATTCTTATAGAAAATTTGTGATTGATCCTTGAGAGGAAAAATAGCAACAGGAAATTAAGAAAACAGCATGTATTTCATATTTCTAATGCTTTTGTTTACAGGTTAAAAACAACAGTGTAATATCTGTTATTTCTAATGCTTTTATTTACCAAATTTTTGTTTTGATCAGTTTTTACTGAGCATCTCCTAACAAGTTATTTGCTGTAGTTAGCATAAAGATAAAAATATGGTCCTTTCAAAACTTGCTATCTGCCCGGCCGAGCGTGGCTCAGCAGTTGAGCGTCGACCTAGGATCCAGGCGATCAGGGTTCGATTCCCGGTCAGGGCACATGCCTGGGTTGTGGGCTAGGCAGCTGATCAATAACTCTCTCATCATTGATGTTTCTATCTCTCTCTCTCCCTCTCCTTTCCTCTCTCTGAAATCAATAAAGATATATTTAAAAAAAAAAAAAAAAAACTTGCTATCTGGTTTTATTATTTATTATACTTAAAATAGGTTTTTTTCCATTTTTATGTTATGCCAACTTCCTCAGGGCAAGGGAATTCTGTTATTTATGTAACATAACTCATTTTTTGCTCTATATTAACTGTAAATTAGGTGGGAATATAATCCAAGTATTTAATATACTAAAATACACTTAATATATTCAGTAAGAATTTAATATGTATTTCCCTTTTTTTTTTTTTTTAAATATGTCTTTATTGATTTCAGAGAGAGGAAAGGAGAGGGGGAGAGAGAAAGAGAAACATCAATGATGAGAGAGTCATTGATAGAGCCCACAACCCGGGCATGTGCCCTGACCAGGAATCGAACCCCGATCACCTGGATCCTAGGTCGACGCTCAACCGCTGAGCCAAGCCTGGCCGGACTGTATTTCCCATTTTTTAAAAGTAGCTGTATTCCATTTTAACTGGTGATTTTGAAAATAGTTTTTCTGTCATACATTGTAATGGTTTATGTAGGAAAACGGTCATTTGGAACTCTAGAAAATCACTGCATTTCCAGGAGTAGGAGTCTGGGAAAGTTAAAGGAAGTACTATGAATACCTAAATTCCCTCACTAATCTCTCTCCGTGAAGAACTTTATGTCATGAAGAAATACATGGACTCTGTATGGCAAGTTTCTTTACTGTAAATGTCTTTTATTACCATTTATCATACTTTTTCTCACATATGCCTATTTTAAAATATAAATTTAACTGCTATTATAACAGAAAACTGGTGAGAATTTTAAGTTTATCCCTATATATTCAGCAGTATAAATTCTATAATGCCATTCCTATTCTAAAATTAAAATGAAGTATCTTTTGAGGTTATATCAGAAATGTTTATTTTGTTATTTGTTATTTTGTTTTTCTGCTTGTGAATACTAGGGTCTTGTTGAAAAAATTCAAGCTTCCAAGGAATCATGAATGTAAGTTGTATGTGCTTTCTAAAAAACTATTTTGAAGTTAAAAAACTTAATAATTTGTATTTAGACATATCCTCAATTTAGACAATTATTTTTCTAGACAATCTGACTATCTGTAGCCCAGTTTGTTACACTTAAGACAGTTGGAACATTTTTCTTTCTATTTAATAAAAAAAGTCTAACTTTATATGCCATATTCAGCTGTTCTAATCAAAGATTCACAGTAGTTTCTGTATCTAAAGGATTTTAATTATGAGAAAAATTAAAAATAGAACAGCCTTTTGACCCAGCGATCCCAATTCTGGGAATATATCCTAAGAATCCCAAAACACCAATCAGAAAGAATATATGCACCCCTATGTTCATTGCAGCATTATTTACAATAGCTAAGATCTGGAAACAGCTCAAGTGCTCATGAGCAGATGAGTGGATAAAAAAAATCTGACTGGCTTATTTCACTTAGCATAGTACTCTCCAGGTTCATCCATGCTGTCACAAAAGGTAAGATTTCCTTCTTTTTTATGGACAAGTACTATTCCATGGTGTAAATGTACCACAGCTTTTGATCCACTCATCTACTGATGGGCACTTGGGCTGCTTCCAAATTTTAGCTATTGTAAATAACACTGCAATGAACATAGGGGTGCATATATTCTTTCAAATTAGTGTTTTGGGGTTCTTGAGATATAATCCCAGAAGTGGGATTTTGGAGGTCCCAAAGGCATTTTAAATACTAGATTTCCTTCTTGTATGCCCTACTTCACATGTTGTTCCTTTATTGTCCAAAGCTAGAAACCTTGGGATTCTGCTTTACTTATCCTCTCCCATCTTCTCGCATATACTCAGTACGACTGTAATAAACAAATGCTGTTTATGTTGACGTCCTGCCTACTTCTCAGTGTTCTTACCACTCCATCCTCAGTCTCACCCTTGTTCAACCTCCATTAGCTGTTGCTGCTCTTCTTTATTGTCTCCTTCTTTCCAGCACCTTCACTTTGTTGCTTCCTCCTTCATACTAGAGACAAAAAGTTCTTTCTGAAATGTCACTTGCTCTCTACTTCATCCTCTGTCCCAATCCCTTCATATACAATGATTCGGTCATATGATTTGATACGTATTTGTTTTCTCCTCTGTTTCTCCATTTTATACAACTGAAGTTAAATGTTCACATCCTCTCTAACGTGTTAGTTGTTCTCTACGCTATTTTCTGAATTACTTTCACAAGCCTTCTATGGTAGGCCTGTCCAAGAGTAATATAAAGTGAGCCACATATGTAATTTTCTTTTTTTTTTTAATGTGTTTTTATTGATTTTTTAGAGAAAGAAGAAGGGAGTAGGATAGAGAGATAGAAACATTGATGAGAGAGAAACATCAATCAGCTGCCTCCTGCCACCCCCTACTGGATATTGAGCCCACAACCTGAGCATGTGCCCTGACCGGGAATCGAACCAGTGACCTCTTGGTTCATGGGTTGATGCTCAACCACTGAGCCACACCGGCCAGAACACATACGTAATTTTCTAGTAACCATATTTAGTATTTAAAAAAGAAACAGAGGATGTTAATTTTAATAATATATTTTATTTTGACCTAGTACATCAAAATATTATCATGTCAACATGTAATCGATATAAACATTATGAGATACCTTAATGTTTTTTCATACTGTCTTCAAAATCTAGTGTGTACTTGACGCTTACAACATGTCAATTCAGAAACTACATTTTCATTGGAATGCTTGAGATCTCATTTAGACTTCATAAGATATTCAGTTGAAAAATAGATTCACATAATACCCAGTTTATTACAAATATACTTATAAATTTTCCAATAACTATAAATGATGTTACCCACTTACATTTAACAAAACAAAATTAAAAATTCAGTTTTTCAGTCACACTAGCCACATTTCAAGTGCTCTATAGCCACATATGACTAATGGCTACCATTTTGGACAGTGCAGCTCTATCCATTTTTCAACAAATACTTATTGTACTGCATATTATTCAGAAGCTCTGCTACGTGGCTTTTATAAATTGAATCATTAATTGTGAATATTTAGATTTTTTTAATCTATAAAAATAGCAATTTCATATAAATCAATATATTTATATTGTGTGATTCTTCATAATTCTTTAAAGCAGAAACCATGTCTTTTTCTTGTTATAAATATCAGTGCACAGTAGGGAATTTTTTTGAATGTTTAAAATTAATCCTATATATTTATTTTGAGAATTTATATTTCCTACTAAACTAGATGTTTCATATCTCCTGTACTTAAAAGAAGGTTTAATTAGGCAACAATGAGCAAATTCTTTGTGCAGAAGTATTTGAAGAAAGTAGAAGTCTTAATAACCTTGAAATTTATCATTTAAGTGAAAGCTAAAACAAACATGCATGAAAATTAAGAGAACCCAAAGAAAGCTGTAAAGTTACTCATTAAGATTATATAAAGTATATACAAAAGTATGGAGGAGGCTGTTACTGGTAAAGAAGGAGGAGTGTTTTGAAAATCATTCATAGATTTTTTCCTAAACAAATCTGGAACAATTATTTGCACAGTAGGGTTGCATGTCAGAAACTTGGTACTCATTTTTATTTTTGAAGACCTACAAAGATGAATAAGGAGGAATCTTATATCAGTTTTTGAATAGTAAATATTCTTTCCCATCACCCAACAAATTATTTCCCAGCAAAACCTAGTTTTATCACCTAATAGTTTCTTCTAAATGTCTATAAATGCCATCTGTTCCTTTTTAAATTAAATATTTATGGATAAAATAAAAACTATTAAAGGAAAGTTTTGGGGTTTTTTTTAATATATCTTTATTGATTTCAGAGAGAGGAAAGGAGAGGGGGAGAGAGAGAGAGAGAAACATCAATGATGAGAGAGTCATTGATCAGCTGCCTCCTGCACACCCCCGACTGGGGATCAAGCCCGCAACCCGGACATGTGCCCTGACCGGTAATTGAACCCCCATTGCCTGGATCCTAGGTTGACTGACGCTCAACCGCTGAGCCACGCCCAGCTGGGCTAAAGGAAAGTTTTTAAAATTCTCACCACAAATACATAATAAACTTATTTTCTATCTTTTCGACTTTGTATTTATGCATACCCAGTAGCCTATGGGAATTCTGGGTACTGCTTTTTGTTTCTACTTGTTATTTTCTTTGTAAATGAAGCTTTTTCTTCTTTCAATTATTTCTTCAGCCTAAAGTCTAATTAATAGGATATTGGAGTAAAAGTATTCATTTTTATTGAGATATAATTGACATTTAACATTACATTAATTTTGGGTGTACAACATAATGATTCGATATTTATAATATTGAGAAATGATTACCACAGTAAGTCTAGTTAACATGTTACCACACATAATTACAATTTCTTTTTCTTGTGATGAAAAATTTTAAGATCTACTCTCTTAGCAACTTTCAAGTGTAAATACAGTATTATTAGCTATAATCACCATAACTTATCTATTTTATAACTGGAAGTTTGTACCTTTTGATCACCTTCATCCATTTTTCTCACTTGTATCTATAAGTTTGGGTTCCGTTTTGTTTTTGTTTTTTAAGTATTAATACTTTTAATTATGTTACTTATATGTATTGCAAATTATCTTTAAAATACTTTTGCTGATTTATGATTTTGGCAATATATCGACTTTCTGCTAGTTCTGTTTGTTTTGGGGACACATTTAACCATGTTACTTAAGCATGTAATGAAAGACATAACATACTTAAGTCTCCAAAGAAAATAATTAAAAATACACAGAAATATTTTGAAATGGTAATGATATTTCTATAATATTGGAAAAAAGACTTACACAAAGTGGGGGAAAAATATCAGATACAAGGTTCATAGTAATATATTCAGACCTAGTAAATTAAAGAAGAAAATTATTTCCATTGTCCCCATACATCTAACAGAGACAATTTAGGGTGCCTTGATATAACTTTTATAAATACAAAAAGAAACAGCATAAGCAATTAAAACATAACATTCTATCATTTATTATTGCTCATCCATTACGTTTTATTCTGTCTGCACCTCACTCTTATTTTAACTCATCTTTCTTTGATGTTAATGAAATTGAATGTCCTCCATTGCCTCTTTTTCTATTTGTACTTCATGTGTGAATTGTGTGAACTTTGGCTATTTATTTATTGGGATAAAACTACAAACATTTTCTAAGTCTAGGGATTATCCCTCTTTACAACGATTTTCCTAATGTCATAATTTTTATGTGGCTTAATTAAATTTTATTATACATATGGATTTTTTTGAGTTGTTAAATCTGACCATTTTTACCCTCCATGCATGTAGCTTCAATACTTTGAAAGGTGTCCTTCCATTGTGTCGATGAATAGTTTTTTTATTTCATTTTTATTCTTTACTATGACATCCATGTGCGCTTGTGTTGGTATCAGTTGGAGGTTACTGTTTGGTTTGAACTAATTAAATTTTCCCCCTCTTACTACCCAGTTATCTCAGGAACAGTTAATGAATACTGCTTCTTTTCATCCTTGCCTCATAAAGGCTATTATTTAGTTAGTTCTGTTAGTCATTGTTTTTGTAATACAATGTGACATCTGATAAGGCTAGCTGCCTTGCTCTTCTCTATATAAGAATTTTTTTCATAGTCGCATACATTAATTTTTCCTAATTAATGTCAGATGAGTTTGTTTCTCCCTTTTTTCCTCCAATTCATGTTATACCATGTAGAACAATGTATGGTCAGCTTCTCTTGTGAATATTATGCTTCAGCATTTCTTCTGACTTGCAGAAACTTTGTTCCCAAAAGCGCAATCTTCTGTTCTTCATTTTCCTCCCCATGTATTTAGGGAGCAGATGTCGCTGTGTCTCTGTGACAAATAGCCCTAATCCTCCAAAGTAATGGTTAATTAAAGTATGATGCCTCCTGCATTCCACCTGGCGCCCCACCTCAGACAAGGAACAGAGATTCCTGTATTGAAATGTAACGGGTGTTTTCAGTGTTTAATTGAGAGTTTCCAGGAAATGGAGCTTTTTCATTATCTTGCAAATGATTTTAATCTATATGTATTAAAGAATGTATAAAATGAATATCAGATCTCAATGGAGCCAATAATAGCTGGCATTTAAATTACGGCATGTTTAGGAGAGGGAAAGGGAAAGAAGCGTAGGGATTGTCCAGGGAATAAAGGAATCTAGGATGCCCTGATCAAAACCACATGCACTTAGAATACAATCTCTTATCAGCACAGCAGGATGGAGAAAATTCAGAATTCAAAGAATGCATATCCTGTGGGTACAGTCAGTATAGTTTCTATTAGATTGTCCTGAGGAATATTTACCAAAACTGCAAAGGATGTGATTACCAAAACACTCTTTTAGGGGCATAAAACTGAGACAAGAAAACTGACACAATTAATTGAGTCTTGCTGTCCTATTATTTATTCACTTAGCACATACTAATTACATTGGTATTACTCAAATATCCCTACTTTCCCTTTATGGATCCATGTTCCATTTCTTTAAATATTCCTGAATGTTGATAAAATACTTGTTGCCTGACCGGGTGTGGCTCAGCGGTTGAGCGTCGGCCTAGGATCCAGGCAGTGGTGGTTCGATTTCCGGTCAGGGCACATTCCCAGGTTGTGGGCTTGATCAGTGACTCTCTCATCATTGATATTTCTGTCTCTCTTCCTCTCCTTTCCTCTCTCTGAAATCAATAAAGATATATATTTTTAAATAAATAAAATACTTGTTTATGGAAAAGTGAACAAATGAAAATGTGAGACATAACTATAACAACAATCCAAGAATGGACACTATCAAAAAAACTAACCCAAAACCCTTATAATACACTAGTTGCACTGACTCTAGTAAGAAAAATGAGGTAATTTCCATTCTTTTTATAAACTACTCTTGTCTGACCATTTGTCTCTGAAAGGAATACAAAGAAGTGGTAAAGGTGAGTGTAATAATTCAACCAAAACTGTCTTTCTGATGCTTGAAAGAAAATACTAACTTTAGCACAAATTGTTACATTTTTGTGTATCTAATTTTACTACTGAATTTTAATACTGTGGAATTTTTTACTAGATGCTTTGCAGTTAGGTCTCGTGGAAGGACAAATCAATGACTTGCTTGGGGGAAGAAATCAAATTCAAACTCCCCAAAAAACAGCAAATGACCAAAATTTACGTATTGAAGAAGATGGATACATTAAACAGAAGGAAATTGGTTCAGATGACATCTGCTCTATTTGTCAAGAAGTACTTTTAGAGAAAAAGCTTCCTATCACCTTTTGCAGGTGATTTTTTCATATAAAACTTATGAAAAAATTCTAATTCAATATGCTTCTAATTGATTCTGAGACACGTTGATGGACAATGTAAATTTAAACAATTATGTTTCATTGGTCTTCTTTTGTTTCCTAACATATATGTTGTGGGAGGTCCTACTCTCCTCTAAATATATCTGTGCTTCATTTTAAAGGGTGAAAATTAAAACCTAATTCTACTTTATCTCCTTTTCACTTTAAGTTTATTACAGTAGAATAATTTTTACATTTTTGTTTTAACACATGAATAAATGCCATGGTTTAGAATAGTTATGAAGAGTTTTCTGAAAGTAAAGATTTTACTTTAAACTTTAAGTTCTTTTATTTTACTTTAAACTTTAAGTTCTTTTCAGTTTTTCAGAGCTCTATTTTTAAATAATTCAGAATTTCACACAAATGTTTATTGAGAGTCATAGTCAACCATTCTTCAAGGCAGTTGGACTTGGAAAATTTGGGCAACTGCTTGCTATTGAACTTTTTCATTCCTTTTTTTTCCTCCTGATCATTTGCCGAAATTTTAATCCACATTGTAGTTTTTCACATGACTGCTATTGTATACTTTTATTATTTCCCAAAATATTATTTCTCTCAGTAGTATTTATTGGGTACTACCACATATTGTGTGATTTCTAGAAAAATAAGGTAACGCCGCTGCTCTCAGTGATGCTTTTATTTAAAAAGTAATAATTATTGTTATAATGTTCTTCTTTTTAGTTAAGACTGTATGCATTCCCACTTTACAAATGAAAAATATTTTACTACTGCAAACATTTTTTAGCATCATTTCATTGGAATGGGGGAAATTTGCTTGGAATTCTGATGTAGTAAATTAAAGATGATAGAAAGATACAAGAAGATAGGGTATGTGTTAATGTGTGTAATCAAGTTATAGCTGGAAAATCAGAATCTATTTTTCTGGGAAATAAAGATGGTAGCACCAAAAATGTTATTTATATGCATATATATAACTTTACATATACAATGGTAATCTAATTTTATGTCTAACAGGTTTGGCTGTGGCAATAATGTTCATATAAAATGCATGAAGATCTTAGCTAAGTATCAGGATACAGTATCAAACACTTCTATGCTGAAATGTCCTCTGTGTAGGGAAGACTTTGCACCATTGAAACTTATTCTGGAGGAATTCAAAAACTCCAGCAGACTTGGGACCGTAGCTGAGAGAGAGCCACTGGACAGACAACTTGGAATTCCCTGTAATAACTGTAAACAGTTTCCAATTGAAGGGAAGTGTTATAAGTAAGTGTCAGCAGTAAAATTATGAGCAAGTATTTCCTTTTTTAACTTTAGGGAACTTTGAGCATTAGAGTACCAGTCATCTAGCCTGTCTTCTTCCTCTCCTCCTTTATATAGTGTGTTTTCCTTAATTGATAGCCATTTATTTGGGACTTCCAGACTGGTGATTTATGTCAGCCCAGTACTTCAGAACTTCAGTTGTTTTATTTTCTTCACTTACACCAAGGTATTGACTTTGTACTCCAGTCTAGATTGAGAGTCTGTAGTGTCCTGTCTTGGAACTTCTGGGCACAGGCTTTGTTGATTTGTTCTATGTGAACTTCCAAGCTCAGAGCCCTGCTAGACAGACTTCTCACCCGCTGTAACTACCTTTGAACCACCAAAGAGATCATTGCCAAAAACTCATAGGATTGAGTCAGAGGGGTATTGAGTGAATATTTAATGAGTTCCCCTATTCCAAATTGCTGTGAGTACATTATTTTGTTTTCCTTTGTGTCTTATACCTCCACAAGATACTTATTAGAGAAAACAACTTACATTACTTTCGTAAGTAATCCCCAAACTTTCCCCCAGTTGCCACATAAAACGTCAGTTAATTGGTCTGCTTTCAAAATTGTGCTTTCTTAAGTAAAATTTTAGGTTAACTGTATGTTAAAAAGAAATATTTTATTTCAAGCTTAAATTTTTACTGAAATGCATCAGTTTACTTTTCAGTCTTCCTGGAATTACATTATGATTCCAATTAATATATTTTTTAAACCCTCTTATAAAATCATAAAACTTTTTATCCACCCAGCTTTTCTTCTTTGAACTTTTAGTCCTTTGTTTTCTCTGTGTGTCACATAGAAGAAAATTAGCTGGAGTACCATTAGTGAAAGTCCTTGCCCTGGCTGGTGTGGCTCAGTTGGTTGGGCATCGTCCAGTGCCCTGAAAGGTTGCTCTTTGGATTCTCAGCCAGGGCACAGGCCTGGACTGCAGGTTCAGTCCCCAGTGGGGGTTGTGCAGGAGGCAGCTGATCGATGTTCCGCACTCTCATTGATGTTTCTCTCTCTCTCTCTCTCTGAAATCAATAAAACATCTTTTTATAAAAGTCCTTATTGGGAAGCAGCTGGCCTGAGAAGGCTCCACAGGAGCATTTTCACTTAAGAAGGCAGAATGTTTATAAAGGTTTAGCAGCAGGTGTTCAGCTAGTTTTAGAAATGCTGGTTTAAAGGGTTCTAGAAAAAGGAGACTTGATATTTGGTATTAGCAGCCATTATTTGGACGATTTAAATATTTTCCAGAAGAGTGGATAAGAACAATGAGCTAAAATTGCAGGTGAAAAAAGGAGTTGGGTGGAACAGCTGTAGGGCACAAGGACAAATGAAAGCCACAGTGTAAAATTCTCAGTCCTTCTAGCCATGTGTTCCTCAAATGGCTAATGGGTGGTTCCAGTAGGTGATTTTAAATCTCCCTTTTGCGTATTTGGTCAGTAACTGAGTACTCCTCTGTCACTCTGAGCTTTCTGACTGCTCTTTCTGCTCTTACAGATGATTCTTCCTACTATCCCTCAATACAGGCACCTCCACTGCTCTGCTCCCTGTCTGCTGCTCTGCACTCCCCTTTGAGAGTAACTTCTCTGTGGGTTTGGCTCACAATTATTCATCTCTGTATTAATCCTCCTTTACAAATTAAAGAATGTATTTCTAACATTTTTAACTGACCACCTTCCATTCCCTCAAATATTAACATTTTAGCCATTGCCCTAAAAAAATGTTTCCAGTAGTTTTTGGAACAGATTGAGTAGGAGACAAGATAAACTGGAAAGCTTTGCAGTTCCTTCTTAGAGTTTTACAACATAGCTACTTATCTTTTAAGAAGTTAATTCCAAAAATATCAGATATGTGAAAATGTAGAAATGCTTAACTTTTGCTAGCCCAGCATAATTTGATGCATTAACTGCGCCATTCCTCTGATTAATGTTAATTATTAAGAATCCTCCCTGTGTGTATAAATAGCAATAATGAATAAATTAGCACTTGCTGCTTCGAAGATGTCTGAAAGACATATTTTCCCAAATTTCTCATGGAAATAGTCTTCTAAATCTTAGGTGACTTGAGTAAAAAGATAAGTTTATTTGCTCAGAATATTATTTTGTTGGTGAATATTGCTACAAGTAAATTAAAATTCTCTGCCATAGCAATATTTTTGTAAATGGTATAAATTTGAGATTGAGCTTTTGTGGAAAGCGAAGTTTGTTTTAAATTTGTCAGTAGTTTTTATTAAAAACTTTTTTTATATATGCTCCTTTCCATTTTGTGAAGAGAGAGAATATAATACAATTCCTGTTTTCAAGAAATATTCTGCTAAGTATAACTCTAGCATTCATGAAGCAATTGAAAACACTGGATAATCAAATGATAGACCATCTAAGAGGCTGTAGAGTCTATGACAATTTAGATAAAGTGATAAATGAAAACTAAGGTCCTTCAGGAAGACATCATAGAAGGGATGTGTGGTAGACAAAATAATTCCCTCCCAAATATGTCTACATACTTATGCCTAAAACCTGTATATTAGCTTCCCTGTTATAGGGCAATTAAGATTGCAAATGGAATTATGGTTGCTAATCATCTGACCTTGAAAGAGATTATCCTGGATTGCCTGGGCCCACTATAATCCCAAGGATTCTTAACAGTGGAAAGGGAAACAAAGAAGAGAATCAGAGGGAAATGTGCCTGTGGAAGAAAGGCATAGAGATGCTGCATTGCTTGCTTTGAAGTTGAAGGAAATAATGCTAAGCTAAGGAAGGTGGGCAGCCTTTAGAAGATGGAAAGGACAAGGAAAGGCATCTCTCTAGAGCATCCAAAAAGAAATGCAACCTTACAAACCCCTTGATTTTAGTCCACTGAGAACCATGTCAGACTTCTATCTTTAAAACAATAAAAAGTAGTATTGTTTAAGCTGCTAAATTTGTGCAAATTGTTATAGTAGCAATAGGAAATTAATACAAGGCGAGACATTTAAGATGGGCCTTGTCATATCTGCATATTTCCCAGGAAACTTCGGCCAGAATTTTTCATCCAAAATCATCAAAATAATTGGATTTTTGTTTGTATGTTTTGCATTTTTAGGTGTACCCAATGTATAGAATATCACTTATGCCAGGAATGTTTTGATAGCTGCTGCCATTGTTCTCACTCATTTATATTTCGTGAGGTACAGTATTCATCCTGAATTTCATGTAGTGTTTGTCCTATTGTAAATTTAAGTAAAATAAATCTGAAAATAATAATAGATAACACTCTGGAATAAAGTTAAATGAGTTTTAATAGAAATCAAAGACGATAATTTTTGGAAAACTCTTTTCTATAGGGATGTACAAGATAATCAGTTTTTATATTTGTGATTTGTAAAATCCAGCACAGTAACAACATGATAACATTATACATAAATCATAAGGGCAACCATCAAATTTGAAAATTCATTTTTAAAAATCTCAACATTACAAATTGACTTAATTACATTATGTTACTAATATGAAGCCTATTAATTTTAATTCACAAAATAAAAATTATTATGATTTGCAAAGTAACATTTTTTACCTGTTACAGAAGAGAAATCAAAGGTGGAAATCACTAGAAAAAAAGGCAGATGAAATTGTAAAATATACAGATAATAAAAATGACATAGAAGAAAAGATACCACATTTTCAAGAAAAGCAAGGGTGAGATTCTCTGTGAAATTTACATTTCTTGTAGGACTTGAGATATTTATATAATTTTTCAGTTTGATAAGTTTCATTCATTCCTTTATTCAATAAATATGTATTGAGCACTTATTATATCATAGATGACATTATGGTATGCCAGTGACAAGCAAGGCTCTGGAGTCAGATTGCCTAAATCCAGTCCTAGCACAACCATTAGCTGGCTATATGACTTTGGGACTAAGTTACATCATTTCTCAATGCCACATTTTCTTCATTTTTAAAATGGGAATAATTATAAAGCCAACCTCACAGGAATTTTGTGAATATGAAATGAGTTAATACACACAATAAATATTCAAATAATGTCCATCATTAGTAATTCTACCAGAGGCTGCACTAGGTATTAGAGAAATAGCAGTTTCCTCAATAATTAAATAATCATCTTAATAAATGTAAAATTAAAACTGACAAATTATATAAAGAAAAAATACAGGATGATTTGAGATTTGCTTTGAAGTAATTGGCCTGTATGGGGAAGGAAGTCTTTTCTGCATCATTTCCCCTCTACTTCCCCCTCTTGGAGGAAGAGTGCTGAGCAGATTGATTGTATTTCAGAACATAGATTGGACTGTTTACTAATAGACAGGCCTCCAGACCTTTTGCCATACTCCTTGTCAATTAAAAAAAATTAAAGTTGCTGGTTTTTATTAACATATTTGGTGCATTGTAAAATATATACAAAAGATAATTTTTGAAGGATAGGATAAAATTGAAATAACGTTTAAATCATAATTTCAGTGAATTAACCAAACAAAAATTGTGCTTGTTCAGATATATATGCATATAGGGTATCTCCAAAAAATGTAAAGACACACTTTGAATAATTATAAAGGCAGTGTTTATTAAAATACATGTCATTTTCAAAATTGAGCTATCAGCTGTTAAAGTGTGTATATATTTTGGGGTACACCGTGTATATCCAACCCATTGAATACATTTAGCCTATGCTCTGTGAATACTTCACACACTTTAGAGACCACAGCTCTTGTGAAGCATTTTATGCCTGTAGGTATAAAATGAGCCTCAACAGAGACTCTGTCTCCTTTTCCCTTGGCCCTGGCTAGATATCACACTTCAACCCATTAGAATGATGTATAACTAAGAGTTTAAGAGATTTGTTGGGGGAGGCCAGAGAACATTAGAGGTAGAAGGACATTTTAGGCAGAGAAAGTATAATAAAAGGAGAGAGTTTCAAGATTAAAAAGAGTGGTTAACAGCCTAAAATAATAAAAGTATACAGGTTTATTTTTTAGTTGACAATTAGATGTCTTTGGTAAAAGCAGTTTCTGTAGCATGATAAAAGTATACCTACAGAGTAATGAGCAGTGTAAGCTTTCCTGAAGGATATATTTGAAGTTTGTTCTGAATGACTTTTGAATAATAGGAGTGCATCTAACCTTTTAACCAAGATTTTGNATTTTACATGCTTGAAGATATTTGTTAGACTAGATGAACTCCCATACAGATATTTTTTCACCTATTTGTTTTTGGCTAGTTACATCTTTTCCTGATTACTTTTTATAAATGGAAAACAGAAAACCACCTTTACTTTTAGAAGAGTATGATTGTTCTCCTTAGTGGTTTTATTTTCTACCTTGTTCTTATAAGATTGACTTTTCACACTGTCTCTCTCTTATAAACTTAATTTAATAATTTATTTTTAAAATTTATCTTTATTGTTGAAAGTATTATAGATATGCCCCCCCTTTTCCCCCATTGATCCCCTCCAACCCACATCTGCCCTCCCCCCCCCAGGCCTTCACCACACTATTGCCTTTGTCCATGAGCTATGCCTATATGCATATAAATTATTTGGTTAATTTCTTCCCATCCCCTCACCCCTCCTCTGAGACCTGTCCGTCTATTCCATGCATCCATGCCTTTCTTTTTACAGATTTATTTTATCTGTTTTATCAGTTGCTAATGGCATCAAATAGCAGTTACTTTACATTGTAGGATCTTAGTTATGTTGGTTGTGACTTTGGGTACAAAAATGGGCTTGGTGCTTTTAGAGCCACATAAACATGGTCTAACAATACTGATGTAGTAAGCATATACCCCAAGGGAAATAAGTTTCCTCATAGATTCTGATGTACCAATTTATCACAGTGGCCTGGAATATTTAATGTGGCTTACTGTGCACCTTACTTCCTACCAGATGGTAGAGTAAATTGGGTTGTATTTTTCTAAAAGAAAAAAAAATGCCTAAATGTTGGCTCAGACTAAAATAATTGAGTATATGGTTCTCATCAAAATTCTCTTTTGGTTTCATTGACATTAAAAAGCACAAATCAAAAAAATTCAGGTTAGTATTTTTATTTGAAATGACTAAATTTTGTTCTTTATGAAGTTGATGTTAAAGTTCAATCCATCTTGTTCAGGATCAATACAATAGATTTTTTTAACTTTATAATGTATGAGATTTATTATCTTCAGTTCAAGAAAACATTGCATTTATAAGCATTTTTATGTGGAGGTTATTACCTGTGCTACTGATAACTTCTTGATCTGAAGTCACATATGAACATTCATCTCTGCTTATTCTCATTCAGCCAGGTTTACACACCAAAACACGTGGTAAAGTCACTGCCTCTCTTAATGATGACAAAGAATAGTAAGCTGCTTGCTCCAGGCTACCAGTGTCGACTTTGTTTGAAGGCGTTTTGTCATGGTCAATATGCAAGATTGCTCCCGTGTTCTCACAAGGTAGAAGTTACATCATTTCACTTTGGCTTTCCCTTGGGGCCGGTTTTCAGAAATAAATTGACAAGTAAAGTCTCTCCTTTCACTTTGTAGTTGTATTATGTAAAAATGTTCAAAATGAATAGTATATGAGGAGGAGCTGCAGCAGACTATTGAAAAGGCAGTTTTGCCTCCTAAGAATGGCTTCCTGTTGATTAGGACTCTTTCTGTTTATACTTCCTAGGAAAGATAAAATGGCCCTTTAAGTTAGATTCTTTTATCTACTTTAGTTATCTGTAAAAAGGGAAAGCTTATAGAATACTAACTTTTCAATGTATTTTTGTGATTATTTGGGTGAAACAGATGCTTCATTTGACATAGTTAATTATTATTTTAGAACTCACTGAAATCAAAGTCTAATGTTGCTTGATCACTGTGTAGTTGGTAACCAGGTTTTTTCTGAAATAAACTTTTCATTTTTTTAATTTTATTTTTCAGTTACAGTTTACATTCAGTATTGTTTTGTATTAGTTTTAGGTATGTAGCATAGCGATTAGACAATCATATACTTTACAAAGTGTCTCCCCCCTCGCTATTTCCAGTACCCACCTGGCACCATAGAGTTATTACAATATTATTGACTATATTCCCTATGCTGTACTTTATATCCCCATGACAATTTTGTAACTACCACTATAGAAACACACTCATAGATATAGAGAACAGACTGATAGTTGCCAGAGAGGAGGAAGGTTGGTGCACTAGGAGAAAAAGGTGAAGGGAGTAAGAAGTACAAATTAGTGAAATGAAAATGTTTCAATAAATAAACATTTATAGTTATAGAGTCACCCTTACTTGAAATGTCTGATAGTTTTCCTCCCAAGAATGTGATTTATTTTATATCTTACCATCATCAGATCAATTTTCAACTATTGTTGGTTATGACTGTATTATTTAATAATTGTCATTCATTAGAAACAGTAAAATTAATGGTTTGAATAAGTAGTTTTAAACAAAATTACAAAAATAATATCCATAGTAGGCTTTCCATTTTAATGTTGAAAAAGGATATAATACTATCATACTATAAGTTATGCCACATTTATAATAGTTTTCTGTTTTATTTTCTAGAAGTGTATAACCCATAACCAATTACATTTTTAAGAGAACCTCTTCAAAATATTTTTCTAAAACTTGATAAATTATAATTACCTTTTATTTTTGCTAGTTTTAATAGTAACACAATAATGAAACAGGAAAATTTACATAGATAATATACATTATAAACAAGATAATTATACCCCTAATTAACAAAACCTTTTTTCTTAAGTTTCATAGGAAATGCATTGACAGTTGGTTATTACACAAGAGCAATTCATGCCCTGTTGATGGACAAGTTATATATAATCCTTTAATCTGGAAAGACACAGCAGTGAGTGAACGCCAGCATCACTCTGTTTCAAACACAGAGATCATTCCTCTAGCAAAGCAGGAAGAACCAGGACTTTTTATTCCTGGTACTGGATTAGTCTTAAAACAAAATAGACTTGGAATTTTGCCTGGCATCCATCAACATAATTGTGAAAAGTTAAAGACACCTCAAAGTTCCACAGATACTTACCAGAAAATAACAATAGATGATCTATACTCTATCAATTTAGATGACTCAAATTCAAGAAAATTACTCTATGAATATAAAATTAGGCAACATTTCCCCAGGTATTTTCATGATTTACCCAATGGATCCTTTGGGAAAATATCACCTCAAACATTTCTTCCTTCTATTGCTCACGAGAATATTATATGTCCCACTGGAACTGAGAGCCCACATATAAATGGCACTGATCAAAGCCAGAAGATGACCAAATGTTTCCATATTAACCACAGTCTAAAGAAGATTCTTGGTAATAAAATAAGAGTGGAAAGCAGGAGATCAAATTCTTCCAGAAGATTTAAATCTTGTCAGTTGGGGTACAACTAAATTTAGTTTGTCTGAAAGGTATGAAAATTGTATGGGGAAAATTAGACAAAAATATCATCATCTAAGAAGGCCTATGTCTCACCCTTTAAATAAAAAAAGTCCTGAGCTATCTTTAATATTGGAAGAAGTTCAATTATGAATATACTTTGGACTAACATCAGAATTTTTTAATATTTGGATATTGAACATAAAATGTTTTATTTGTAGAGCATAAAAACACACACACACACAAAAAAAAAAACACTATATACTCTTGACAAATGGGTATAAAATTTTCTGTTGTCAGTTAGCCTACTTGTCTATGAATAACTACACTTAAAGGAAATTATCCCACTCTTTATAAGACTTAAAACATTAGATGTTTTGATGAGTATGTTCAGAGTGTTCAGAATGTTATGAATTATGAATAATTTTTTGAACTTTTATATATGATTTTGCACTGATTAAAATAATTATTATTACTTAAATTAAGGAAATAGATTTACCTTGTATTGAATCACTGTTTTTAAACATTCCACTTGATAACGTACAATGAGATTCTTTCTACGTACTTGTGTATTTTTTGCATGTCCTTACAGTAGTAATCACCACAAACCTGTAAGAAAATCCAGATGGTAGTGGTTTTTTCTTAAAGTAGTTTTCTTATACATGAAATAAAATATGCCTATAATACTATAAGCTATGCACATTTATAATGACTTTTCAATACTAACAAATTTCTTGATATAATCAATATTGAAGGATCTATATTTTTTTAAACCAGCTCTATTTGGCCCTAGCTGGTTTTACTCAGTGGTTATAGCATCAGCCCATGGACTGAAGGGCCCGGGGTTCAATTGTGACCAAGGGCATGGTGTGGGAAGCAACCAATCAATGTGTGTCTCTCACATCGATGTTTCTCTCTCTCTCTTTCTCTCCCTTCCACTCTCTCTGAAAAGCAATGGAAAAAATATCCTGGGGTGAGGATTTTAAAAAATTAATAAATAAAACCAGCTCTATTTCCAGAATAATTAACTACTGCTTTAAAATGTTCACTTGAAAAATATAACCCTTAGATTCTTACTTTTAAATTCTATTGCTCAGTAGCTTTTCAAATTTTTTAAAAACATTAATGATTTTATAGATTTTTATTATCTATAACAAGGAAAAACACACACGGAATATACATAGTTCTATGAAACAAATCATGAGGATAGCAAGCAGAGAAAGTTCTTTGAAAATAGCGTTTGAATTTAATGAAAAGATTAATTATATTAAGGGTAATCACAAAAGAAAATAATTACTAAAATATAGTTCAGAAACACTAACAAAGTTAATTAGAACATGAGCTGCATTTAAAAATGAATGGAAAGTTGGGCTTGTTTCTGATATATAAATGGAGAGCCAGATATATTTGTCAGCAATCCAGGATTTTATCGGCCTATTTTTGTTGTTAGGTGGAGTAAAGAAAACTGCAAAATAATTTCCCAATTATTCAAATATTATTTATCTTCTAATAGATATTGTGCTCTTCTTTTTAAAAGAATTCTTCAAAAAGGGATAGAAAATGCTCTGGAAAGTCAAACATGAAAGAGCTATAAAAAACAATAATAATTAGGATGCTGGTAGAGAAAAACCATAATGCTGTAAAATGTATTGTTCAGTTAAAGAAAAGATATAATATAGACACTATTCCTATACCAGCCAAACTTATTAATGATGATTCTGGGATTATTATTTGAGTTTTATTATTATAGTAGTGTACTATACACAAAATATTCCACCCATGATTACAAAGGAGAGTGTACACATCAAGTAGTAGAGTAACTATTTTTTTTTTCTTTTATATATATATATGTGTGTGTGTGTGTGTCTGTTGATTTCAGAGAGAGGGAGAGAGAAAGAGTTGAAACATCACTGATGAGAGAGTCATCATTGATCGGCTACCTCCTGCATGCCCCCAACTGGGGATCGAGCCTATAACCCGGGCATGTGCCCTGACTGGGAATTGAACCCCAATCTCCTGGATCCTAGGTTGATGCTCAACCGCTGAGCCACGCCCAGCCAGGAAAAGAGTAACAATTTCTGAACAAGCTTTGCCCAGAAAGAGTTGAGGATATGAATTGGGTGACTCAATGTGGGGGAAGTTAAATAGTTATTTGGTTTGTTATTTATTAGACAAAATAAATTTCACAAAAGATGCCCACTTTCTAAGAATAGAGATCATCCTATTGATGACGAAGAAGAAATGGCCGGAGATGAACACAATACAGATTCAAGGGCAGCGGTGAATGACCTGGCAGGCTGGTCGGGGCCTTGAAAAAGATAAATTGAAAATTGCAGACAAGCAGGCTAGGTGTAGATGGGTATATGACTGAATGCACTGCCAAAAGCTCCACCCATTGGGAGAATTTTCTGTCACCACTGTCTTTTAAGGCTACTCCTAGTGAGGCTACAGGGTAGTTGGCCATCCATTTTCAATCTGCACCCCACAGACTCAGCTGACCCATCCAGAAACCAAGCTCAGGTTTTTTCTGTCAGCTGGTCATAGGTATTAGCCAAAAGAGGGACATGGTTCAACATTATTTAACTTTGGTAGATAACAGAGATCTGGGCGCTCTACTCATGCATTGTGCTTTCCAATACTGCTCATGCCATCTGGATATACCATTTCCGTATTATGATGAATTGCTGCTGGGCCCAACCAAGTTTATGACATGGATTTCCTGGCATGTCTCTGTCCACAGGAAACCTAGAAATTTTATTAACGAGAAATCCCTGAATCTTTGTGGGTTTGTCTCCCATCCTGTGGAACACAAGGGGCATGGTAGCAATTTTTGCTTATATGACCCAATTAACATAACAGCGTTAATGTAGTGAATCCATGTAACTTTCTGTAGGATGTTCAAATGGTCCAGAGGGCAGGAGAGAGAACATAGCCTACAGCAAAAATATAAATGTATATTATCGTCTTATCCCTGTGAATGAGAACTCTTTCTGATCCTCTGATCCTCTTTTCTCACTGAAATAGAAAGGATGCATTCACAGTATCAATGGCTTTATAGCATGTACCTGAGGACATGTTGATCTCTTCTAGCAAAAACAACACATCTGACACAGCCACTGCAACTCTACTTCATTGAGTTTGTGGTTGCAACAGTCTGCTGTCATCTTTCCAAAATCCTTCCAGTTTTTGTAAGGGCCGTAATGGTGAATTAAATGAAAATCAGATAGGAACCAACACTGCTGCATCCTCTCGATTTTTATGGATGGCACTAATTTGTACCATGCCCCTTGAGATGTAATATTATATTAGATTTATTTCTTGGCTTGAGTTTAGGGAACAGTTTTAGAAGCTTCCATGTGGGTATGATTACCCTTATCCCACAGGCCAAGAGCTCAGTGTGGGACTTGTACTAATTATATTTTCAGGGACTAGGGAAATAATTGCTGGGTGGATCTGAAAAAATAGTGGACCCATCACAAGCCAGATATTTCTCAGGATTCCATTTACTACCTGGGCCCCATGGGCCCCAGTTCTAATAAGGGGCCATAATAGTGCTTCAACTTTCTGCGTATCACTGTCAATTCAGACTGTGTTCCACAATCCTTGAAATGTTTGGCTAGTGCCCTTCCCCCAGTACATAGTATTAGGGTGACCAGTTTATCCCAGTTTACTCGAGACTTTCCCAATTTAAAAAAAGAAAAAAATCCCATGTTCCAAGAAGCTCCTTAGTTCTGGGAAAACTGGGATATTGGCCACTCTAATAGTTACTGAAATAAATCACTTTTGGGGAAGAGGTGGGGAAATTACTGAGTATATTTGCTGTGCTATTGCAATTTACTTCCTACTATGGACTTGGCCCCCTCTTCAGTCAGTGAACTGTGGCTCTGAAAACTACCTTGGGCCCAGAAACTTGGCTCTGGATTGTGACTTTTAATTAGGACAATTTCCCTTGGCCTCCTGGTCATCCATTCTTGAGTCTTATAACAGTGCAAGCCGAATGGAATACCCTTGTTGGGTTCCCATCTATTACGCCCCGAGAGACACTCTGTTTGATTAGCCATCTCCATCTCTTTATTCAGGCCTCCTGGCTGCTTCTCTGACCCTGCCACTTATTACTATAATTTCATCCACCTGGATTTTGGCAATTCAGTGCTACCACCTGCCCTTTATTTGGGTCCCGTCATCCTCATGGCTATCACCGAGTCTAGTAATAACGTCCTCTCCTACTGTCAGCCCTGGGTTATAGAAGAGAGCCACCACTGAACCTGTTGTGTTGCCTCACAGCAGAACATAGTTTATGGCTTTGGTAAATGGTGTATTTTACAGGCCTTCTCATGGGACATAATCATCTGGTGGGGTTCCTGGCCTTCCAAAGTATATTTACTCCAGCATGCTGGTTTCCATGGGTTTTTTAATCTCATGGTCTACTGTTTGCTATGGAATTGTGGTATTTCAATGTCACTTAGCATTGGCCATTGCTTTTCCATGTCTCTAAGAGCATCTCAATAGTGAGCATGCACCATCATCTGGATGGTTCTCACCATCCATGTTAAATCCAATGTCATTAGAATGCTCCCAAGTCAGTAAACACTCCCCTGCCCAGATTTTCTGGTCACCTTGATTAAGCACTCTCAGAATTCAGACCCACAGGTTCTCCTCCAGTACCTGCCAATACACAATAACCAGGTCTTGCAACTTCTTTAGGATATTAGGCCTTACTAGCAACAGCATACCCCTGGCTGAGTTATGCTGTGACTTAAGCTAATGATAGGCCTACTTGCCATAACAGAAAGTAAAGGCAGGTCTTGAAGGGGTGCACATGACTTGTGGGGAGAGGACTCTGCAGTACCTTCAAGCAAAAGGGGTGGGCAAACTAGCCCTTAAGGAGTAGGGATGGCTTACTTCCTCATTTTCAGAATGTTCAGAAGAGTCGGGGGTTCAAAATGTCCAGGGTAATACACCCAGATGTTCTTTTCCCAAATATTAGGATCCCGTTTATTTTTCCCCAGGAGACCCTGATCTTGTTATAACTAACCTGCCTTGATTTGGCATTTAACCTTAACTGGAGCTTTACCACTCAATTAATTCGCGGTCCTCAGTTTCCTCTGCCTTCCTACTATAGGAGAGGGTTTTTGTAAGCTATCACAAAAGTCTGTTGGCTTTCTTGCTTGGTGTCCAGTTTCCCACACCTTTTCGTGATCTTTTTCTAGGGTAGCAATGGTTTTAACAATACCATCCATTCCTCTTGTCCTTGTAGCTTCCCCAGTACTTCTCAAAGTTCTGATACTTGACACCAGCTAATGCATAATCCCCTCCCCCCGTGGTTTACCATCATAACTCACCAACAAAGAGAATTTTAATAATTGGACTTGTACGTTATGCCTGGGGATGTCTGTGTTTCACTTACCAATGACAGGGTCCTCACTGCCACCTGGGGTGAAAGGGATCCATCTTCCAAACCCCAATTTATCACCTACTTTCTCAGACCCCTCCCATTACCAATAGGTATAGGTTATTTGTTCCAAAAGCAGATGCTTAAATGGAATCTGGTGTGCAAGCTATTTATTAAGCATTAACACCTGTACATAGGAGGAGCCTGATCCTGTCTTTA